ACTAGATGTTTCAAATGTGGACTCAAAGTTTGTCCACTGTATGCACAGTAGTGTTGAAAGTGTCTCCTGACAAACTCTTTCACATCTCCCCATTCCTTCTTTTACTCTTTTTTTCTTTTCTTTTCTTTTCTTTTTTTGGTACTGGGAATCAAACTCATGACCTTGCCCTTTCCCAGGCAGGCTCTGAGCCACTGAACTATATCCCTGGCCCTGTGCGTCTCTTTTATATCACATGTGACCTAGGCATGTGATGTTACAATTTCATTTCTAAAAGTTTTTTTCAGAGCAGCTTTTTTTATGAAAGTTAATGGAAAACTTACCAAATGTATTGGCTTACTAATCAACTTTTACAATACACTGGCAATTTCTTGAATAACTAGATGAAATATTTGTAAAATTATGACTCATTTTTTTTCAGTATGTTTGCAATGTCTGTAGTGTGCTAAAGTTAAGTGACACACATGTAACAAAGAAGAGCAATGGATAAGCTGAAATTTTCTAGCATACACTAATAAAACACCTTTTGCAATCTCTTCCCTCCCACCTCTCAATCCAACAAATAAGTACAGACAATGTACAGTTCAGAGGTGGTTTAAAGGTCCCATTTCCAAACACAGTATTTCCCATCAATTAAAAAATTATCTACAAAACATGTTATTCTATTACTTCTACTTTAAATATATCAGGCACTTTTAAATATCAAGAGTACAGTTTTTCAGATAAGGACTAGTCTGCTATGCATATAGCACTGATAAATAAAATTGCAAATGTAACAACAGTTATAATCTAAGTGCTTCTACATATGACAGCTTGTACCTTAAACCATTCCCTCCTCACTTCTCTCTATCTTCCACCTAGTAGACAGCAAAGGCACATGTCATGCTTACAGAAATTGAATAAATTCATGTCCCCCAATTCTCTAACAGAGGACAAGTTTTCCTATGAATTTCAACACAAATTGTACAAAATGTGCTAACTTTATCAACTACTTTATTGTATACTGGCAGCCTCTTTAATGTCTAGCGACTACATGTTGCAAAATTTGGACTCACTTCTCACTACATACCCTATAGACATAACAAAACAAACTCCACAAAACATATAAAAATAGTGTCTGCAAAGGTCCAAGTACAAACACTAACATACTCCCTTTGCAATCGCCTCCCTCCCACCTCCTCCACACCAAACAAGTATAGATGTTGCCACCTTGCTCAGAGAGGTGGTTTAATGCTTCTCTCCCAAAACACAATACTTCATGTGATTTTTAGCAAAGAGATGTTTACAGAGTGATATTTTACTGTCTCTACATTTAACAAAGGTCAGGCACTTCTAAAGATCTAGATAAGACTATGTAGCAGTTGACTGATTGTGTCAACTTGCGATATTTAGAAGCTTAACTAAATTGGCTCAGCAATTCTATGCCCTAGGGTGTAGAGGAGTCACCCAAGGGTGGATCATCCCCTAAATGATGTATAAGGGAAATGAAGAAGGACAGAGGGGCTTCCATTTTTCAGAGGGGCTTCACCTTTAGCATGGAGGTCATCTCCTGGTTTCTAGTGCAGACTCTTCGGCTTCTGCCTTGGATCCATCAGCCTTCTGCATAGACTCTTCAGCCTTGCATTGCAGACCCATCGGCCTCCTGATCTGGACTTGCATGGAACACTGCAGTGAACCTTGGACTGGATCCTTCAGTCTCCAGTCTGCACACTTCCTCATCCAACTCTGTGGCTGCCCATCATAAGCTAATCTTGTGATTTCTTATACATTTGTATATCTTGTGTTATATATGTTTCTCTAGTAAAACCCTGATTGGTACAGACTAGATGTTTCAATTAAGGACTCAATTTGTCTGTTACATATATATAGTAGTTTTGAATGAATTTCACACATGAAATAATAGTTATCATTTGAAAGTATCTTCAAAATATGAGCATTTTGGACTAGGACCTTTTCCTTATCCACCCACCCACTGGGCTACAATGCTTAAATTTTCATAAGATAATCTTTCCTAGGAATTTTAACACAAAACACACAAAACTTGCTAGTCAGTGAATCCTACTTTTGTCATAGACTGACAACTTTTTCACATCCAGGAAGACCATACGTTGTAAGTTAGGGCTCCTTTATTCTTTCCACACTCTGCATATACAGCAAAGGGACACAAAATGCAGAGTAAGGGACACTTGTCATGATAAGCTCACTGGCACAGCCTTCTGGATTACCTTCTCTTCTGAGAAACAGTGCACAACGGTGCTACTTCAGAGAGCGTTTTACTCTTCCCCCCACAAAATAATACTTCATGTAAGCTCCAAGAAAAATAAATTTAGAAAATACATTATTTTACTATTTCTATTTTTAAAATATGTATCAGGCATTGTGAGCATCTAGAAAGACTTGATATTTCAAAAAAAGTACTTGATATTGGCAACTATATATATATTAATGAGGTATAAAATGCATATACAAATGAAAGGTTATATAATACAAAAAAACTCCTATATGTAACCAGACTGGTACTAAACCTTCTTCTTGCTCACTGTCTTCTCCTCCACATGCTCTAACCCAGAGGACTCTCATCCCAGGGCCACACTGCAGAAGGTGAGTGGCAAGTGATTGAAGGTTCATTTGTGCTTTCAGTTGCTCCTTGTTGCCTTCATTGCCACTGAGCTCCACCTCTGCCAGACCAGAGGCTCACAGGCATGCATACCTCATAGTGAACTGTGAACTGGAACAGTCAAGGTTATGTACTTCTTGTAAGAATCTAATGCCGATGAACTGGGTTGGTGCTGAGGTGGTGATGCCAGCATTGAGGAATGGCTGCAAATACAGACTGACATTAGCAGAGAAGTCTGACTATACAGAGATCACAGTAAATCAATTGCTTGTAGATTTATATTATAATCCTACCGATGAGTAGGAACCAGCTGCATCTGGCAGTAATCTTTATAGCGGCAATGGTACATCTTTGGTTGTACAGCGGCACTGGTGGAGGGCTTTCAGTCAGAATCTGGCACTTATTTTAGTCCGTTCATGACCCACTCACTATTTATCACTTTGGTTTGCGCTTCTTTCCCACATCGCACACTTGTCTCGGTGTCTTAGCTAACCCTAACCAAAATGAGTGAAAAACAATCTTCACAGGAAAGCTTCTTTGAGAAGGGGGAAAAGTGCAATGATGAGACAGCAAAAGATTCTGAGGCTCCCACAATCAGCTGTAATTAAGTAAAATATAAGAGTCCTACTTAAATTATGGGTTCATCCTAACAGGTGAGTCACATTCTCCAAGCCCTCTTTGTCAAAATTGTGACAACAAGCTAGTCCATGAAGCCATTGCCACATGGAGACTAAGTGCTCTGCATTAAAAATCAAGCCTTGGTAGTTTTTTCTTTTTAAAGAAAAACATGAACACGAAGCACAAAAGTAATTATTGAAAACCACAACTTCATCAAATGTGTCTACACTGAGAGTATCATTCTTAGTGGCAAATGGCATTTTTAAAGCTCAGAAGCCCTTTACTCTCGGTGAAGAGTTGATCCTCCCTCCTCCTAATGAAATTTGTCACGAACTTTTAGGAGACTGCAGTTCAGAAGGTGGGGTGTATGTCTCTTTTGGCTCACACCACAACTAGATAAATGGATGAAATAGCAGAGGTCATTGAGGAATAATCATTAGAGAGGACTGATGAGTCTACTGGTGTTCACAATAAGTCAACTGTGCTGTGTCTATGGAAAAAGTTGTCTTCCACAAAACTTGTCTCTGGTGCCCTAAAGTTTAGGGACCACTGCTCTAACCCACTAAATAAATGTGGATGAAGGTCACCCCTGCTGTTACTTCTAGACATGGTCTGACAAACTCCACTTCAAAAAGGCAATTCCAGGGGGCTGGGGATTTAGCTCAGCGGCAAAAGCGCCTGCCTGGCAAGCGCAAGGTCGTGAGTTCGGTTCCTGGTACCAGAGAAAAACCAAAAAAAAAAAACAAAACAAAAACAAAAAGGCAATTCCAGAAGACATTGCTTTTTTGTGGTTTTTAAAAATCGATCTTGGTGTTTACAAGGTGTGTGATTTTTAACTCTATCATATGTTGGCAACCTCTTTACCTTTAAAAGGTCCAGATTTGAGGTTGTGAGTTCAATCTCTGGTACCAGAAAAAAACAAAACAAAACAAAAAAAGGTCCAGATGAAGTGGTGAGCAGCTTTTTCGTATTATATGTAGGCTCTCTATAAATGGCAAAGAATCTCCCCAAAGGGAGGTAGGCCTTTCCAATTTGCCAAATGTGGAATGTCACTCTACTTTCTCTCTTGGGAGAATGAAGACCATGAGCCTGTGGCCCGAAAACTCTTCATCTGCCTTTGTCCTGCATTCCACTCACTTTCCATGACTGGTAAGCCCCCCACACTTTTTACCCTTATTGAAAGGAGATGAGGTCTCTTTCATCAGGGACAGAGCAGTCACTCCAGGCCCAAGACCTATGCAGTTTCACGGCCGACACTGGCAAAGCTTTTATATGTAGACCTGTTTTCTTGGGCCCTGGAGGTAACAGCCTATTTATCAGCATGCATGCCTGCTGCCTCACAAATGTGCCATGTCCTGGTAGCCTGGTGGGGCTTCCTCCAGGCCTAGCAGTGTTGGATCAGGAGATCTAGTGGTCTGAGGATCCTGCCTTGACAAATCTGTGGCAGCTGTCAGGACTTCAAGGTGGGGAAAGGGTGGAGAGGAGCAGTTCACTGGTGCTTCAAGGCTGGGCCAGCGCAGTGGGAATCCTCTGCACGGGCTCTGAGGGGCTGCAGGGCAGAGGCCATGACCTGTCCTAAGGCCTCCCCGCAACTCACCTGCTGGCCTGGTACCATCACTGAGTGCAGTCTCTCTGTTTTTGTCATTCTTGGCTAAAGTATTTTGGGACTAGTTCACTGACTGTTTTGTAATGCCTATGTGAAAGTGCAAGACTTTATGCTCTTGGACTTTCACCATGTAATTTGCACCATTTCAATTCACAAGTATTACCAGGTATGGCAAAGCTATGTGAGAAAAACCCATAACAAATAATAGAAAAGTCCCAGACCTACTCCATTCACAGACAAAGACGCTGTCTCCAACCCCGCTGGTAAGATATTATGAGTGTCTCTGAATTATAAAATAGACAAAGGGAAGAAAAAACAAGTGATAGCAAGGTGGAGAGAAAACACTGGGCTGGTCTGTGTTATTTTTATTTACTGGTACATGTTTGCAGTGCATAATGATTTTTATTCATTGTAGGGAGCCGATGTCTGTACATAACACACCTTACTTCTCTTTGCTTCCCCTTCCTCCCTTCAAGAAGACTTGAATAAATTACATGAGGTGCTGCACACCATAGTCCAGCACTCTGGGAGGCTGAGGCAGGTCACACTTTCAAGCTGTGCCTGGGAAATGTAGTGACTTAGCTAGATCTTGTCTAAAAAATAAAAGAAAAAGGGCCAAGGATATAGCTCAGGGGCACAATGCCTGCCTGGCAAGCGTGAGGCCCTGAGTTTGGCTCCTGGTACCAACAAAAAAAAATGCTACTAAAAACAAAAGAAAAAAAAATGGTTAGGGTTTAGGTTCATTGTGAAGGAGGATCTGGATTCATTCTCCAGTATGGCAAAATGGAAAGAAAGAAAAACTTCATAAATGGATATGTTTCATGTTATGTGTATGTGTTACATTTTCATAACTGAACATATACAATCTATCAAAGCCAGGAAAAACTCCAGCAAAATTTATGAGTAACTTTAAAAATTAACATTAAAATTTATATATAGAGATAAATGTGTATGAATAGTTCAAATAATTTGTTTAAAAGAGTCAAGACAGTACTTGTCCAAATAGTAATTCAGACATATTACAAAAATATTGCTAGGGGCTGGGGATTTAGCTCAGTGGCACAGCGCCTGCCTAGCAAGCGTGAGGGAGTGAGTTCAATTCCTGGTACTGGAAAAAAAACAAACAAAAAAAAACAAACAAAAAATATTGCTAAAAATGTGATATTGATATAGGAACACATAGGTAGTTAATGGAACGAAACAGAGACCAGAAAGTAGATAAAAATATATATCATTGACATAATATACTGGGGAAAAGATATATTCTTGAATATAATGAATAGAAAAATTGGCATATCACATGAAGAGAAATAAATTTGGAATTTAAAGTTTATAGCATTCTAAAATCTACTTTTTATTTTATTTTATTTTTTTGGTACTGGGAATCAAACTTAGGACCTTGCACTTGCCAGGCAGGTGCTTATGCTACTGAGCTATATCCCCAGCCCTACAGCATTCTAAAGAAGATAGAAAGCTTACTTTAATGGATTGAAGGTCTAAATTTGAAAGGCAAAAATCTAAAACTTTTGTAGAAAAAAATACAGAAATTTAATATTGTGATCTCATTTGGGGCATCCCCAACAATATCCCAAAGCACAAAAAGAAGAGAAAAAAGTTAATGAATTTGGCAATATACAAATATAAATATTTTATTTAACAAAGGATTGTATAAGCAAAGAATAGGTAGGTGTAGATTAAAAGAGGATATTTATAAAGTGAAAACCAAAAAGTGATCATTATATCACACACACATGCATGTTGGTAGTTGGCAAATAAGGAACAAAGTCTACAAATCCAATAAAGCATGGATTAAATACATAAATAAAAATTCACAAAAGTACTGAGATGCAAATTAAATAGATAATAAGCATATGAACAGACGCTTCCTAATTTAAATCATGTGATATCATTATTACAACCAATAAGCAGCCTCAGAATAGTAAGTGCTAGAGGAAGTAGGATGATGCAGGCACTGTGGACAATAATTTGATGGTATTTAATGAAATGAAATATTCATAAACTATCATCCAACAAGCCAACTGCTGATGTACACCTCAGAGGAAAGTCTCCCCATATCTATAGAAAAACCTGTTCACTACAGTATTAGATGTTTAATTAAGAGCTGGGAGGTGTATGTGTTTATTATCAGGGGAGAAAGTAGCATATGTAAACACAATCCATGAAACCCAGATGTACCAATGTTGAGGGGATCTTCTAGGACGCTTCCAATAAAAAAAAGCCTTGTCCCTACTTGGATTTTGAACAAATTGATAAATAGAAGCAAGAATACAACTAGATAGAGATCAAAATTTTGCTACTGATTAATGTAGATTGAAAAATGTTAATATGGAGACAAAGGGGTCTATTAACTGAAAACCAGAGTAAGCAGGGTCTCCACTTTGAGCCAAGTACTCTTTAGAGGACTCACATTTGAGCAGGAGAGAAGGTAGATTCTGCAGGTGTTTGGTTTGATCTTAAGTGTTCCTCACAGGCTTGTGTATTGAGGCCTGGGTCCTGAGCTGATGACACTAATGAGAAGTGTTGGAAAATTCGGGGAGTGTGGCCTACTAGAAGGAAGTAAGGTCATTGGAAGCATGCTCTTGGGGGATGTTGGGATCCAACATCTTCTTCTATTTTCTCCTTCGTCTTCTTCTATTCTCTCCTTCCCACTACCAGATGTGAAGAGTTTTGCTCAATAATACGGTCCCCACTTGATGTACTGCCTGACCGCAGGTCCAAAACAATGTGGCCATGTAACCATGGGCTGAACTCTCTGAAACCCTGAGTGAAAAGCCTTTTTCCTGTTAACTTGTTTATCTCAGGTATTTGTCACAGTGACAGAAGGCTAACAAACACAGCAGACAGGCAGGACCCATGAGGAAAAAGGGCAGAAGAGAGCACAGCATGCCCAGCCGTTCTCAAATTCACTCATCAAGAAGTCACTCTCTCCCAGAGGCAGCGGGAAACACACAGAATGAAGCCTTTTAAGAAAAGTGACATCCCATGAGAAGATCAGTAACGTTATCTAAAAGGGAAATGTTGTTGCTTAGAGTCAGAAATGACTCAATTTGTGGTTTAATATAATAAATGTGGATTAAAACACATACAAACCAAAGAGGATAATTTTTCAGAGATGCTAACTAAGGAAATGTATTGAAGGCAGAGATTACATAGGTTTTGATAATGTTTGTATCTTGGGGGTTCCTGCTAAATTTTTAAAAAAAATACAAGAGGAGATTTACACGGGGGGAAATGTGAGTTAAGTGAGGCCACCGTTACCAAGAAAACGTGTGGAATGCAGACATGACTCAGCAGAGCGCTGTTTTCCTTGACACTCGTCTATAAGACCCAAAACAAAGAGCAAGACAAAAGCTGTTGAGTGACTGTCGCGGCCTCAGAATTCAAAGATAGACAAGGTATGCCATCTTCTCTGGCGCTTGTAATCTTTTTGAGTGACAGCTTTCATTCGTATGTAAAATTCTTACGTCCAATGAGAGTTCATCATCGTTGGAAATCACGCGCAGGGAAGGAAAGCAGAAGCAGACTTAGGTCTCAGCTGTCTCCGGAACTTCAGGCTGTGCTTTCTCACTTCCGCTGTGCGCGCTTTAACCACTTACGCTGCGCTCTTAGCGTGTCTCGCTGGCGGTGGAGACACGTTGCTCATTCAGTTCATCTTCGCCCTTTTCCAGAGTCTGAGGGAGACACCCCACCGGGCTGAGCTGCTCGCCTCAGATTCCGCAGATGGTTGCCATTTTGGTTACATAACTATCTCATGAGAAGTCTGCCCGCAAACTGCCCCTCCGCGGAGCTGGAGGGCGGGTCCCAGGCGCACGGCTGGCCGGGACCGGAGCGGGTCGGGGTGCTTGCGCGCACCCCGGGCCTCGGACAGCGCCTCGCCCGCGCGGACAGATGGTGTTGCCTCGGCGCGCAGGGGTGGGGACTGGCGGCAACAATGAGCAGCAGGAGCCACTTGACAGGCTCCCTGCTGCCAAGAATGCGCATGACGAGCGCGCTGCCATCTGGAGCACCTCAGCTCCTCGAGGAGGAGCTGGCGTCCCGGCGCGGGGAGGAGGGGAGCAGAGGCCGAGCCGCGGCGCTACCTGGCCGGGGAGAGCGGGAGGGGCAGCCGGCCCGGCGGTGCGCCCGCCGCAGGGCTGCGCGGGGCCACGGGGCAGCGAGGCCGCCACCTTCCGCACGAGTCTGTTTATCCAGCAGTAGCGGGTGGAGGAAATGCGGACCTGGGAAGCAGAAAATTCAGACAAGGACCCCCTTTCCCATGACCTCCAGATGAGAGGTCAGGGAGGCAAAGGGCTGACCGCGCACCCCAGGGACGCTATTCCCGACCACAGCACTGCTCATTATAAACACACGAGCGGGCCGTTAAACTAAACCCAAACCCACTGGCTTTCCCGCAGCTGAAAGCGTGCGTGTTTAAAACACAATGAATTTGAGAAATGTAAAAAAGAAATTTACTTAAATCCTAGTTTTATATTTAAAATAGTTTCTTTTCTCTAAAAAGATTTTTTTTTCCTAAAATTTCTCTAGGGAATTTTTGAATTTTCCTGGGATGAAGTGGGATCTGAAGTGAAACAACATTTTACTGTAGAGTACATCCTCTAGATAAAGTTATTATCAGCGGCTAAAGCCTGTGTTTAATACCTGTAACCACAGTTCTATAAACTCCTGGTCTTGCCAGAAGTTTCAGTAACAAACAACACCAAGAAGGCTACCGACAGGAGAAAATACAGGGTCCCCAAAATATTAATTATGGACTAATCCAATAAGTGAGAGTGATATCGCATTCACTGTTGACGTTCGGTGAGGTTTCCAAGGTGGAGGCTGCTACACGGATCACCGCTATGTGCATTATCCTAGCTGCCAGCACAGCTCTTGCCGTGAAGTAGGAGTCTGTACTTCAGCTTGGACAGTGACAAGGGACACAAGTTCATCTGGTACAGGTAGGCCCACAGAGGGATTGCTTGGAAAGGTACCGAACCATCTGTGGAATCTAAGAGGTGAGCAGCTAAGACTGGAAAAACAGCAGCCCCTCAGCTGCAAGAATTTGCAGTCATAGTCTCAACAGCTCAATGACACTTGTGCCTGCATTCTGGGGATGTCCTGGAATTAAATCTTAAGTTCTCTGAAGTCTTTTGAAGACCCTGCACGGGTTAATGTTAGGTGTCTTGTTCGATCCTTCATAGAGGAGATTCAGGTGGCAGGCGTGAGGACAGCGCTCTGTGTGTCAGATGGGGTTTTCTAACAAGGAGAAAGATACGTCTATATATAAGATACAGACCACGTGCAGTTGTCTATGGAAGCCACCCACCATCATGAAGGATGAAGGATTCTGACCAAACCGCATTATTTCAGAGAATCTAAGCTTAATGCTCCGTGTGCCAAAATTTAAATTTCAATTTCTAACAAGGTTTTCAGGTAGAATTATTAAGTCAGTGTCAAGATGACTCAGATTAATAACTATGCACATTACTTCCTATACAGCCTTGTAGCGTGATGACACCCTCAAGAACTACTGGGGAATGGGAGAGGCAGACCTGGGACCCAGGTGAGCAGAAGGAGGCACTTGGGGCATGGTATTTGAGAAGACATTTGGTCCAACATGAAAATGAGTTAAAAAGCAAGTATTTCCTTAAACATCTCCCTTGCTGCATGTTGCTCTGGGTCCTGTGAGAAGTCTCTATTCATATACAAAAATGGCTCCATATTATTCCCCTGGCTGTTTCTGCCACCTGTCACTATCAGGAAACCTATGTGTTTTGTAGGATTGTCATTACAAATGTTCTCTCTTCTCCACCCATTGGACCTTTTCTAACTTTTTTGTTCGGCATTATCATGATGCCCAAATAGCTCTGCCCTCGCACTATACTCTGTTTGGGTATTCTGTCCAGGGTCACACATGTTAATGAATGCATGCAAACATAGCTGTAGATGTGTGGAATCAAGCTGATTTACAGCTTTCAGAAAAAGATCACATTGAAATAAATATTAAATGACTGATCATGATAAGCACATGACCGATCAGAGTATGTCTTCTGATATTTAGATTTGAAGGTATGGTTGTGATATTTAACTATGTCACTTAGAAAAGGAGACAATTACACTAGTGAAATTATACATTGGATTTTAAGTAAAACTCCAAGACAACATAATTTTTGTTTGAGTCTCTTAAGGGTGATAATGGCACTGGCCTGATGAAGAGGACAGAGCTTGATCTCTGTGACAGATTCTGAACCTGCTTTTAGGTTCTATGTGCCACTGAGGGCCTATTTCTGGTGACAGAGGTGACTCCCAGTGAGGGTGATATGAGGGTGACCCCGTAGCAGAACCTCATTCCCCTGAAGGGGACGCTGTGGCTCGGGTTTTCCCCTGGCTATACAGTATGGGTAATAAATAGTCAAAGTTTTGTAGTCACAATAATCTGGGTATTTTAATAAAAATATTCACCTTTCTGAAGGTATCTGAGGTGGTCTAAACATGTGAGCAGGGAACCACTACAATGTTGCAGTGTTCTTTGTGGTATCTAGGCAGTCATGCCCATGATGCAGCAATTTTAGTTTCTGGCCCAGTCCATGTGATGTCTGTTCAATCTCATGAAAATTGAATTTAAAAACATTAATCAACAATTTTTTGCTTCCCAAACATTAGCCCATGAAGTGGCTCAATCTGTGGGCAGAATCCAAACATTCATATGTGCTGGTAAGGGAGAAATGAAGCAATCTCGGTGTCTGGTGTGGTTAGATATGCTCGCTTGCTTTTGCATCTTTCTCTGTGAGTTATTCTCTGAGAGGAGCCTGTGATGGAGAGTCACATCCCTGGAGAAGATACGCTCATGCTCTAATCTCCACTAGATCAGAGTATGACCTCATCTGGAGATAAAGTCCTCACAGAAGTAATCAAGTTAAAATGAGGTCTTCAGGTGGATCGTAATCTGATTGGTGTCCATATGAAAGAGGGGAGATGAGGAAGATGAAGACATAGGTAGCACAATGCTCTCCTCCGAGCATGCCTGGCACTCCTCCCAATGACTGGAGGCACATACTTTTTCTCTCAGCTCAGAGAAAGAGCCAAAGCGAAAGAGCCAAAGCTGCTGATGTGCTGGTTTCAGACTTCTAGATGTTAGCGTGGTGAGACAATGAATTTCTGTTGTTAAGATTTCTAGTCTATCATGCTTTAGAGCAGCCCTAGCAAACTGATGCAGGGTACTTATTGGAGCAATATCTATTGATCTGAAAACTGGTTTGGGATACACATGCACATGTATCTATATTGCAAAATGACATAGTTAAAAGTATTGTAGTAAAGCAAAACTGCACTTCGAAGAAGGCCTTTAAAGGAATTTGCACTTGTTATGCATGATCATCCGTGGCTTAGAAAACTAACTGCTTCCTGAATCTAAACTTATTAGTTGAATGTGTGTATTAGAACAATTTTTAGAATTATCTTGCTACTCAAATGTAGCATACAATTAGGGATTTAGTCTGGATCATTAATGAACCATCATTAGGCAAAGATCTTGTACAACAAAAAGCGGTTCCCTTCCCTCCTAGCTAAGAGGCACTGTTCTCCCCAAAGCAAGTCCATGGCAGAAAAGTACGGTGATGTCTTTCTTCCTCTAGGAAAGTAGTATTGATAGACCACCCTTAAAATTATTATTCTTTACTTGTTATCTCATTAAAAAATCTCATAACTTTCCAGGTTTCATCTTCTAGAATTTGTGCCCCTATAGAAAATAGTTCTTTCCAATATCTAAGTAAAATCTGTTTTTGAAAGGATTTATGCTTGGACTGTTTTACATTCAGTAAAAAAGGAAGAGCTTATTACTGTAACTACCGCATACATGCCTTTGTATAGAAGCAGTTAATATGGAAATCAAGGATATAATATTTTTAGTTGCTTCCATTTGCTTTCCCACTTTTTAAGCAAGATTATATGCTTATAGAAATGTTTTTCTTCCTGGCTTCCTAGGTTGCATTTTTTTCTATCTTTCTTTGACATACAGGGAACAGAAGTAGGGCAATCTAAATATATCTTTTAAGCCAAGGAAGTTAACAAGAAATAATCACAATTTTAAGAAAAAATAAGAAATGGTGACAGTGCTTAAGGAGATTACATTGTGTTTGGATCCTGTTAATTACTGCTACCAGTTCACAAGCTGTTGCAAAGGTCCCCTGGAGATTATTTCCAATCTATTTATGGAATCTTCAGAGGAAAAGTTATGAGAATGACTTTTTTTATTCTATTCTCTTTAAACTTTCATCTTCCATAGCTTGCAATTAGTTGTCTGGAATGAGGATGCATTTTAGGCAAAATATGCAGGGGTCATAATTTTCTGACCTACTTCCTTTTTTATGTCCAAATAATTTGGAAAGAATTTTTTCCAGATTCTCTCTGTTGCATTAATCCACAATGACATCTTTTCAACTATCTTGGTTTCAGAGTGCCCTGGTAGCGTTAAAGTAGTAATTTGCTACTTGAAGGAGTCCATTACTGCTTACAAGAATGTGGGTGGATAGGAAATACTGTTCCCCACTAGTCAGTCACCTTGGAAAAAGTTTATAACTGTGATGAACAGAGAGAATAAAGATGGAAGAAAACTCACTCTGGGAAACATAAGTGGATCATAAAGGAAGCGGGCTGAGGCTATCTTAAAGAAAGGGCTTAACTGGTGGAACGTATTTGGGTAGTTTCCTCTTTAGAGTCCCATGGAAGTTTTTGTCTTTGTATCAGAAAATTGTAATTGATAGTTTGTTTATTTATAGTTCTTCCTTAAGTAAGAACTATTTTGGTTTTATTCACCAGTTTCCACAGAGTAGAATTTTGTATCTTCCTCTTTGGCACCATATGTCCATTTGAGAAGCAAAGGGCTTCCTTAGTTCCCTCAAATGGGCTCTGTGTTTGCCAGGGGGCGGGACGCGACGCCCTCCCATCTGGCGTACACGTTGCCACTTGGCTGCCACCTGTGCTGCCACCCGGGGCCCTCGCCACTCCTCCCCCATCCAGTGCTGTGGACTGTAAGTCCCCATAGCCATTTCCTGGCTGCGGCTTCTTGTCTTGGCTCTAGTGGCAGATGTTGGGGTGGGAACCACTTTGAGGGCCAAGCATTTACTATTACCAGTCTGGTGGAGACTCTAACCATTCTCCAAGGAAAAATAGGAGGGCGGTGATGATGCCTGCCTGTAAAGACAATATGCAATCGCATCGCTCCTTTTGTCCTACTCCTAGCTCTGTCCATGCTATTGAACACTCCTTAGTTTGACCTTTTGCTCTATCTTGAAATATGTCTGGTGGGACTCACAATGCCTACCACACTCACTCCCATTTCTGAGGAGATCTTGTGTGAGTCTTCCCTTGGGTGCAGACAAGGACTGATGCATGCCGTGTGTAATTGGCTGATTTTAGGTGCCTTTGTAAGTGCCCCTGCTCACTGGACAGGCAAATCCCAGACTTGAGGGTCATTACAGACCCAGAGCCAGGAGGTGTGCCATGGAGGCTACCAGAAAGACAGGTTAAAGATATGCATGGATTTCATTACTTTGACGATGAGAGAATAGTTTTAGATTCATAAACTCATGTTATTTTTGGAGCTGGAAGCAATCCTAGAATCATTAATTTATTTTGTAACAAAATTATTTATTTTATGATATATTCCTGCTATTCATGTCAATTGATATTCTATAAAAGCATGCATCATGGAATTTATTGTGATAAATATTTGGAAAGTGTACTTATTGTCTCTCTCTCTCTATATCCCTTAAATCTGCCATATCTTAGGAACAAAGCATTTCATTTAAATGAGACCATATGGATACTATGCTTTCTTGTTGGTCACCGGCATGGAATATTTTATACACCAAGAAAATATTTCTTTTCACTACTGGAAAGTCTATAATAATATTTTTAGATATAAATATTACTCAAACCCATAATATTCACTTATTCAACATGTACTTGAATATTAACTGAACAATGCCATTGTATTAAACTAGGTGCTGAATAGATAATAGTAACAAAATGAATACAATTCCAGATATTAAAAATAAATGGCTTACCTTTTGACTTAATAGGCCAGTGAAGATGATCTTAAGAACATAAATCTATCTTTTGTTTTTGTTTGTTTTTCTTTTTCTTTTCTCTAGTGTGACCATCATCACAAAGTGTTTGTTAGGTAACCAAGTGTATTACTTAGAATGCATTTGGCTGTAAGTGAAAGAAAAGTCAATTAAATTCAAAGTGGCTTAAATAATAAAGGGAATTTATTGGCTCAGCAGCTTAAAAGTCCAGCTGGAGGGTGGGCTTCCAGCATAGTTTAATTAGGGCTGCAGGTCAATTGCTCTGTGACTCTTTTAGCTCTGTCCAATTCCATGATTCATCATGCTAGTAGTGCTTGTCGGGTTTCTCTATGATTACAAGATGAAGGCTAAAAAAAACCCCAGAAGAATAGAGCTTGATATATTTTCTCCCATATGCAGGGAAGAAAAAGAATACCCTTATTTTAGGATTCCAAGCAAAACTGAATATGATTTGATCATTGTGTGCACCTGAAAC